TGTCAGATGCCATCTGTTTACTTTTCAGAATTCAGTGCAATGAGAAATTATATTATTTTCTTGCATTTTTTTTTTTTTTTTGATTCTCCAGTTTTCCAACAGTCTCAGCCCAGCGAGTTACTGCCTACACACAAGAACAGACACACATTTATCTCCAGAAAGGACATTTTTCATCAACATTCCTCTTGGCTGTTGCTGCTGCAGGAACATCAACATTTTATTTTGGGGGAAAAATGAATATAATCTAAAACAAAACATACATTTTCAAAACCATGGTTTCATTTAGACGCTTCTGTAAACTATGAATAGCCGTCAGTCATCAGCAGCGCTTTTATTATACGCAGTTGGTCAGTATGAGTTATTTGTAGCAGCTGTTGCAGAGTGAAAACTGTTAATGTTTGACTTTTTAAACTTCACCAACCTCGTTAATTAAATCGTTCTGACATCAGTTTAGAAGGACTTGAGTTCTTCCGTGAAACAAGAACATTTATTTTTACGTCGGACATTCTGAGAAGACTATTACAGGTAACTGTGTGTGTCTGAGTGTGTGCAGCACAATATGCCTGACCTCCAATGACCTTCAAAAACAGGCTAAAACAGCATGAATACTGACCCAAAATAGAAATGACTGCACTGAGGTAGTTCTTCACTTTTTATACCATATATAGATTATTTTGAGTTAACTGTTCTTGAATTATTATTATTAGTATTACTACTATCATCATCATTATTATCATCATTATTATTTTTATCATTATTATTACTATAATTATAATATTATTATTAATAGAAAGGCATTGTGGTTTGTATCATTAATCCCAAAAGATTTTGTTCAGGAAAAAAATAATAATTTGCATGTTTTTTTGTTTTGTTTTACCAAATATTTTCTACAGCAATAACTAAAATATTTGACAATCCTTATTCTATTTTTTTTTTTTTGTGTCTGGTTTTGGACACTTACACAGTGTTTAGGGTTTTTAGCTGTTTATTTATTCATACTAATACCCACTGGTATTACGTCAAACAAGGCTCAGGTTTTATATAATAATAAATATTGCACATGATATCACTAAAATTAGTAACATCTTATCTAAAAATGATGCAGAAAAACTGGATCATGCATTTGTCACGTCTAGACTGGACTATTGCAACGGTTTATTATCTGGGTGTCCAACTACTTCTTTAAAATGTCTTCAGTTGATCCAAAATGTTGCTGCCAGAGTCTTAACTGGAGTTAGTGGGAGAGATCACATCTCTCCAGTTTTAGCTTCTCTCCATTGGCTCCACGACAAATCCAGAATAGAATTCAAAATATTACTTCTAACCTACAAAGCTCTCAACAACCTAGCTCCAGCTTATATTACAGATCTTATTGTTCCATATTTTCCTAACAGAGCACGTCGCTCTCAGACTGCAGGTTTACTTGTGGTTCCTAGAGTTTCCAAAAGCAGAATTGGGGGAAGATCTTTCAGTTATCAGGCTCCTCTCTTGTGGAACCAACTTCCAGTTTCTGTCCATGAGGCTGACACATTGTCCAGTTTTAAGACTGGGCTTAAGACTTTCCTTTTTGATAAATCCTATAGTTAGTAGGGGTGCACCAATAAAATTGGCCAAATTATCAGCCCCAATTTCCTTAATTTGAGGAGATTGGAGATACTCAAACGAGAAACCGCCTTTACACATTTTTTGTAGTTTTAACAAATGTCTAAAATTCATTAATATTTCAGAGCACTACCTCATGGCCAGTTAACACAAGTTTGTGTTGTTTCTAGGATATTGTTCAAGGTATGTTTTTCAATAAAATAAGATGGAAAATTGAAGGTGCAATGTGACATTATAATTCTGACAGTATCGCTTATAAAAAAAAATCGGTATCTGCCAAAATCGGAATCGGCAGTTCAGGATTTTTAGGGATCGGTGATAGGCCAGAAAACTGGAATTGGTGCACCCCTAGTAATTAGGGTTGGCTTGTTAAGCTGCCATAGACTACTGGAGGACAAATTGACCTCATTTCCTTAAATGAATTGTTAAAATTAAATAGTTTTCATTTGATACTATTTCTATCTTAACGTGATTCTCGACCTGCCATTGTGTATCTGTTCCTCCTTCCTGTTCCTCTCAAACCCAGCTAGTCGAAGCAGATGGCCGCTTGTCTTGATCCTGGTTCTGCTAAAGGTTTCTTCCGCATGAGGGAGTTTTTCCTTTCCACTGTCGCCTTCATGTTTGCTCAAGATGAGAGTTCTGTGATGGAGTTAATCTCAAACTAGTCTGCTCCTCAGATAAATAATGTTAAATTATTATTTTTATGTATACGACTGTTGCTGTTCAGTGCCCTGAGATGACCTCTGTTGTGATTTGGTGCTATATAAATAAACTGAATTGAAATTTATTTTTGCTGTATTTCATACTAGAAGTCAAATTTGCAAGTATTATTACCATTATGGTAAATGAAAACTTATAATGTAAAAATCACATGAAGGATCGTGTTACAGAGTAATCCTGTTTGTGGCAGTAAATTTAGGAAGATGCTGTAAATTTTCAACATAAACTCAAAGAAAGTGACAGTTTTGGTGCAACAGAAATAGGTTCATGTTCCAAAACTAAATAAATTTGTCAGGGCTGGAGCTTTTAGAGTTGCTTCAACTACTATAATAAGATTTAAAGTGTATCAATCAAGGTGGCATGAAAAGTTGCCGCCCAGAATTTTTTTCTTTTCTGAATTTATAATTCATTATTTACCATAAAGAACCAAAATGTGTGCAATCTTAATGTGTATTGTGTTTTTTTTCTTTGTTTAATTCAATATTTTAGTTTGTTGCTAAAATGAATACAATTTTAGATTTAAAAGCAGCTGAACTCTCAATATGAATAAACCAGTTTAAATAAAAATCTGATATTTTTATCCAATCAATTTTTCTATAAAGTTCCTCACAATTTGAGGTGCTTGTAAACATTTGGAATAATTATTATTATACATTAAATTTCATTAGAGTATTTAGATGCTCTAAATGTTTTCAATGCAAACAAGTCAATTCTATTTAGCAGCCTACTTTAATTAATTGCCAGCTCTCGTAACTGATCTAGTTTTAACAGTAAAAAATGCATTCTTGTTGATTGAGATCTATATCAATTTTATAACTCAAATAAACTATGCTTACTATTTGAAAAAAAAAATCCAATCAACTGATGCTTTTTGATTTGGCAACTTGTAGCAACAATAAAACGTAGTTTGAAAGTTTAAAAATAGACAAATCATCTGAAAATGTCAACAACAACAAAAACAACCTAAGTTTGTTAATGCTAGTTCAACTTAGGATGAGTAAATAAAAAAAAATGTTGGCTCAGTATATAAGTTCGTACTTTAATTAATAAAAAATTTCTATACTAAATTGACATCTTGAAGTTTAGTACAAATTCATTTGTTTCTGTTCGTGACATCAAGGATTAGGTAAAATACTTGAATTGACTTGAAAATTTGTAAATCACAGACTAAAAGTTTTTGAACACTTGTCTGCCATTTGTATGTTTTAATTATTTTGTTTTTATTTCATTCTCTGACCAGTTAAGCACAGAAAACATTGTATTAACATTCCATTGCAGAAATTCCCAATATAAGGGTCAATGAAAACGTCAAACAGCTGTTCTGTGGTATGTTCACTTCCTCAGTGCAGGGAAGAAAAACACTATCCCAGTGTAGCATGAAGAACCATTTTGTTATCTGATATAACTGTGGAGACATTGTTTCCAGTTGTATATTGACAGGTTAGTTCTCCAGTTGTAGCTTTACTGGCAATACTATCAATGAACTAAATAAATTGATTTCATTATATATATATATATATATATATATGCAAAACTGGGATAGTGTTTTTCT